ACACGAAGATGCAAACACGCAACTCAAAAGCAAGAGAACCAACAGCCAGAAACAGCAACCTCAACGCAAGAAGAAACACCAAAGAGAATACAGCCAAGCTCAAAAGCAAGAGAAACACCAAGAGAACAGCAAGCTCAAAAGAGCAGAACACCAAGATGAAACCGCGCTCAATTAAGCAAGGAAACACCGATAACAGCAAAAGACAAGCTCAACGAAGCAAGAGAAACCACCAAGCGAACAGCAAGTCATCAAGCAAGAGAACACCCAAAGAGAAACAGCAAGCTCAAAAGCAGAGAAACAAACGCAGAGACAGCAAGCTCAAGTCAAGAGAAAACACAAGAGAACAGCAATGAACTCTCAAAGCAAGTATGAAACAGCAAGAGTTAACAGCATCCTTCTAAAAGCAAGAGAAACACCAAGATTGAAACTAGCCAAGCTCAAAGCAAAGAAGAAACACCAAGAGAAACATCAAGTCTGCAAAAGCAAAGAACACCAAGAGAAACAGCAAAGCTCTCGAAAATGCAAGAGAAACACGCAAGAGAAACAGCAAGCTCAAAGCAAGAGAAAACCCAAGAGAACAGCAAGCTCAAAAGCAAGAGAAACACAAGAGAAAACAGCACCATCAAAGCAAGAGAAACACCAAGGAGCAAACAGCAACCTCAAAAGCAAGAGAAACACCAAGAGAAACAGCCATCAAAAGAGAACAAAACAGGAACCAAGCAGAACAGCAAAGCTCAAAACAGAGAACACAAGAAAACAGCAAGCTCAAAAGCAAGAGAAACAGAGAAACCAAAGCAAAAGCAAACAGCAAGGAAACTCAAAAGCAAGAGAAACAGCAAGAGGAAACAGCAACCTCAAAAGCAAAGAGAACACCAAGAGAAACGCAAACCCTCAACGCACAAGAAACACCAAAGAAACAGCAACCTCAAAAGCAAGAGAAACACCAGAGAGAAAACAGCAACCTCAAAGCAAGAGAAACACCAAGCAGAAAACAGCAGAGCTCAAAAAGCAAGAGAAACACAAGAGAAACAGCAACCTCAAAAGCAATGAGAAACACCAAGAGAAACAGCAAGCTCAAAAGCAAGAGCAGAAAACAAAGGAAACACCTCAAGCTCAAAAGCTGAAGGAGAAACAGAGAAACAGCAAGCTCAAAAGCAAGAGAAACACCAAGAGAAACAGCAAGCTCAAGAGCAAGAGAAACACCAAGAGAAACAGCAAACCTCAAGAGCAAGAGAAACAGAGAAACACCAAAGCAAGAAAACAACCAATAGAGAAAAAGGCAAGCTCAAAAGCAAGAGAAACACCAAGAGAAACAGCAAGCCTCAAAAGCAAAGAGAAACACCAGAGAAGCTCAAAAGCAAGAGAAAGCACCAAGAGAAACAGCAACCTCAAAAGCAAGAGAAAACCAAGAGAAAACCAAGCTCAAAAAGCAAGAGAAACACAAGAGAAACAGGCAAGCTCAAAGAGACATCCAGAGAAACAAAGCTCAAAAGCAGAGAAACAGAGAACATCAAGAAGAGAAACAGAGAAACAAGCTCAAAAAGCAGAGAAACACCAAGAGAAACAGCAAGCTCAAGAGCAAGAGAAACACCAAGAGAAACAGCAAGCTCAAAAGCAAGAGAAACACAAAGAAACAGCCAAGAGAAAACAAAAAAAAGCAAGAGAAACAGCAAGAGAAACGCACCTCAGCAGCAAAACACCAAGAGAGAACAGCAAGCTCAAGCAAGAAGAAACACCACAGAGAAACACAACAACTCAAAAGCAAGAGAAACACAAAGAGAAACAGCAACTCAAAAGCAAGAGAACAACACAAGAGAACACAGCACAGCTCAAAAGCAAGAGAAACACCAAGAGAAACAGCAAGTCAAAAGCTCAAAAATCAAGAGAAACACACTCAAAAGGAAACACCAAGAGAAACAGCATCAAGAGCAAGAGAAACACCAAGAGAAACAGCAAGCTCAAAAGCAAGAGAAACACCAAGAGAAAACAGCAAGCTCAAGCAAGAGCAAACATCAAGAGAAAGCAAGCTCAAAAGCAAAGAAGCAAGAGAAACAGCAAGCTCAAAAAGCAAGAGAAAGACAGCAAGAGAAACAGCAAACCATCAAAAGCAAGAAAGAAACCAAGAGAAACAGCAACTCAAAAGCAAGAGAAACACCAAGAGAAACAGCAAGCTCAAAAGCAAGAGAAACAGCAAGAGAAACACCAAGAGAAACAACAAGCTCAAAGCAAGAGAAACAGCAAGAAGAAACAGCCAAGAGAAACAGCAAGCTCAAAAGCAAGAGAAACAGCAAGAGAAACACCAAGAGATCAAAAGCAGAACAGCAAGCTCAAAGCAAGAGAAACACCAAGCAGAAGACAGCAAGCTCAAAAGCAAGAGAAAACACACCAAGAGAGGCAGCAGCTCAAAAGCAAGAAGAAACAGCAAGAGAAACAAAGCTCAAAAGAAGAGAACATCAAAAGAAACGAGAGCCTCAAAAGCACCAGAGAAACAGCAAAGAGAAACAGCAACCTCAAAAGCAAGAGAAACACCTAAGAGAAACAGCAGCTCAAAGCAAGAGAAACCAAGAGAAACGCAAGCCTCAAAGCAAGAGAAAGCAGCAAAGAGAACAGCAAGCTCTAAAAGCAAAGAGAAACACCAAAGAGAAAACAGCAAGCCCTCAAAAGCAAAGAACAGGCAAGAAGAAACACCAGAGAAACAGGCAAGCCTCAACAACGCAAAGAGAAACCGCAAGCAGAAACAGCTAAGCCTCAAAAGCTAAGAGAAACAGCAAGAGAAACACCAAAGAAGAAACAACAGAGCTCAAAAGCTAAGAGAACAGCAAAGAGATAACAGCCAAGAGAAACAACAAGCTCAACAAGCAAGGAGAAACACAAGCGAAACTCAAGAGAAACC